GTTGACCCTAACAAGCTTATGAATGTAACAACTATGGACAGATATGTAAGGTACCATGTGAAGGAATTCGAGAGGAGCTTCTTGATCAAATTTCCAGCATGCTCTCTTGCGGCTAAAAGACACATCAATTCGAGCACAACAATTCTGGATGTTCAGGGTGTGGTATGTTTCTGAAGACTCAGTCTCCACAACTTGTCCATTTCCTTACAAGCCTGGTAACTAGCTAGTTCTGACTTGGTTCCTGCTTTTGCAGGGTTTGAAAAATTTCAGCAAAACTGCACGTGAATTAATTATGCGACTGCAGAAAGTTGACAACGATAACTACCCTGAGGTCTGGATTTCCACCCTACTCTTGCGATAAGCATAGTTCGGCATTCACATATTCTATTGTGATTTAGTCAGTTAAATATCCACCATTTTCTGTTCTATGTTCCAGACTTTACACCAAATGTTTATAGTCAATGCTGGCCCGGGCTTTCGGATGCTATGGAGCACTGTGAAATCTTTCCTCGACCCAAAAACCACTTCCAAGATACATGTAAGCATTCGCACGGACCACACTTTTTTTATGCTAAATTCACTTGATTTACTAGGTGCTATTGTGTTTCGTCAGGTACTTGGGAACAAGTGTCAAAGTAAACTGCTTGAAATAATTGATGCTAGGTAAGTAGCGTTCAGTGTACTGTTCTTGTAATACGTTGACTTGTTTTAATGAATACTCTGTTCTAATTATTCTTTTCATTTGTGATAATTGATCAGTGAATTGCCAGAATTTCTTGGTGGTACTTGCACCTGTCCTGAGTATGGAGGGTGCCTCAAAGCTGAAAAAGGGCCATGGAAGGACGCGAACATACTGAAGGTATGGCTATCAGTTTCCTGGTAATCATGTATCTATTACTAGTCACTTTCCTTTATTATCTCCTCTCTTAATGTGCTCATTATACGCTGATACCAGAAAGTCCTTAATGGCGAGGCCCAGTGTGCTCGGCAGATTGTAACTGTTTCCAATGGGACGGAAACTATTATTTCTTATCCCAAGTCTAAGTACCAAACGGTACGTCTCACAATCAATTTGTATTGTTCTATGCTTGAGTGATCTATGCGGGAATATAATTTGTTTTAACATGGAATGCCAGGTACGTGGAAGTGATACATCAACTGCGGAGTCTGGATCTGAAGCGGAAGATGCAACTTCCCCCAAAGCTCTAAGAAGTTACATCTCTCATCCTAAGTTGACCCCAGTTCGTGAAGAGGTCAGTAGTTTAGATTACATTGTGCTAAGATGCAGTTACTTATGAACAAAGAACCAGCCAATTGATCTATCACTCAAATACAATTGTCAATCAGCCTACTCTCAGGTAGCTGAACTGAAATTTGATGGCACTACTGTGCTCCAAACCACCAGTATGCGGCGGTTGATCTTAACTATTTGTATAATGACTACATTTCATAGCAAACAAAACAATTGGAACTGCCTTTCTCCATCAAACAACCTCATAGGTAGAGAAAAATAGTAGGTTCTAAACAACTAAAACCAATCACTACTCACTTTGTTGCTATCCTAATTTACTGGCTAGCTGTTTTAAATTTCCACATGTTAAAAAAGAATTTACAAACCCCTTTTCTTGTTTCTCTGTTGGGCACATGGATTGTGCTACATTGGTTTGAACTTGCCTTTTCGCCTTTCAGGTCAAGATGATCAGGGCCACTAGCTTTTCTACCCGTATGCCTGAATATGATATTCCTGTTGTTGACAAAGCAGTGGATGCAACATGGAAGAGAGAACTGCCTCGGAAGGCACCCTTACCATCCAAAGGTTTGTTCTTGTCAGTTCAATTGCAGGGTCTGAAAGATGTCTTCTGTTACTGCCAAAACCTGATATTTGCTGCTATTTCTTGAATGTAGACTCTTCTTTGGCTACCGCCACAAAGGCATCCAACAGGTCTTTGGATCAGATTATTCCAGCTCTGATGGCTTTTGTGATTGCTATTGTAACGCTGCTTCGGTCAGTTAAAGATGTTGCCACGAAGAGATTGGCAGATAAAAATGAGTCAGACGAACAAAGTTCTGCAGTATATCAAGACTGCATTCCAAAAGAGGAGTTCCGGCCCCCGTCACCAGGTCCTGGGTTTGCTGAATCTGACCTGTTCTCGCTAGTCTTGCAAAGGCTGGCAGAGCTTGAAGCGAAGGTTCATGCGCTTGAAGAAAAACCTTCTGAAATGCCTTGCGAGAAAGAAGAGCTGCTTAATGCCGCTGTCCGCCGCGTGGATGCACTAGAAGCCGAGCTCATCGTAACAAAGAAGGTAATTCCATGGCTTGCACTTCATTTTGAAAAAAAAAATTCCATGGTTTGCTGCTCACTGTTTCATTAGTATGAAAAAACCACAACCCCACTCCAGAACTTGTTGTATGTGTTATTATTTTAACTGAGAAGGTCAGTACTTGTCACTTAACCTGTGCATTTTCGAAATTCATCCAGGCTCTGCACGAGGCTCTCATCAGGCAAGAGGAACTACTTGCTTACGTTGACAGGAAGACAATTGCCAAGGCCCAGGTTTGTAACGCACAAGGCAATCAGTCCTTTCATTAGTGCCTTTTTCATCTCTTGATCTGTTTCTCATGTGTCATGTCTACCTTCCTTTTGCAGAAAAAGAAGAAGAAGCCGATGTCTTGCTACTAGGACGAGGAGAGAGAGACCCCCCTTGGTTCAGTTTTCTTTTCTCTGAGATGCCGGAAACGGTTGATCCCTTCGTTTTCCTGACAAATGTGAAGATGACAGACATATGGGTTTGTAAATGGACAGAAAATCCTGACATAAATAAAATGTGTTTTTGCGCCGAACTATGCCTGTTTCAGCCTGCCTGTCTTATAAATACAGGATTGCAGGCAGAATGCCGTTGTTCACCTGTCTTGGTTCTGCAGTTTGTTTACTCCATTTATTGGTTACACGCCTTTCACCATCACGAGCCTGGCGATACGCAGCTCTAGCTGAACTATGTGTAGTTCCATAGGATGCAAATAACAGGGGAAACAAGACCATTGTATTGTTGCTATGGCATCATTATGTTTCTCAAGGCCCACAATCCTCCAGCTGCAACCAGATTGTTGCTAAGGCATCACCAATTTTGTGTCAATCACAATTCAGTTACACAACATTCTTCAGAAGCGCAAAACTGAGCAGAGTCTTTACAAAGACAAAGGCCTTACAGTTCTTCTAAACACACAGAAAATATGTTTCGACAAGACGCGATCGGCATAGCTAGGACCTGCCTGCTCGGAGCGCTGCGACTACTTTCACATGAAACAGTTCGATCTCTGCTCCGAAGATAAACAAAAATACAAAATCTTGTGGCCTAATGTGGGAGTAGTACTACAATTCAGCCTTGGCATTCCAGATCGTATGTGTGTATGTATGTATCCTTTCTGCTGCATTTTTCTCTCTCTTTCTCTTTCTTCCTTTGCTCCCCCTCCCCCCCCCCTGCAGTCGCCGGTCGCCGCCGCCGCCGTCGGTCAGCGATCTTCTCCTCACCAACGGAATGGATTCTGCTGTTGGAGACAAAACTTTAATGAAATCAGCTTGTAAGATGAGTGCTTACCACGAGCTTGAGCGAGTAATTGACAAAAAACTACCACATTTCACGTATCCGTCCCACAGAACTACCACATTTTAAAAACTGACCAAAAACTTCAGATTAGTGATAATTTCGTGACAAAAAACTACCACTTTCGTAAAATAGCTATTTTAGACGGTTTAAACACGTTTATGACAGGAGGGGCCCGTTTGTCAGGCTGACGTGGCGGAAATCACCAACTCGGTTTATTTTGACTGCCATGTTGACCGTTATGGCGGGTGGGGCCCATATGTCATTCTTCTTCTTCCTCCTCTTTCCCTCTCTGACATTTTAACAAACACTTCATGTGCATCATTCGAGCACGTATGTGGTCGGGCAGGGCGTCGCCGCTCCTCCGCCATCGCATCCACCCAGCCCGTTGCCGGAGTGGTCCGTCCATGCCAAAGACCTCCTCCTCCGCGCGAAAGAAGCCGGCTCCGGCGCCCTCAGGCCAGTGCTCGCCCGCGCCGCCCACGAGCACCTCCTGTCCTATGCTCCGCGCGCTCCTCCTCCTCGTCCTCTTCTCGACGACCAGCGTCCACAACGCGTCCAGCTCCGGTGTCGCGCCCTGTCCGCTGCTGGACCCGGGGACGCCGTCGATGAACCTCGGGTGGAGCGTGCGGCTGCGCATCGCGCGCGGCATGGCGAGAGGCCTGGCATACCTCCACGACAAGAGCCTGCCGACCTGTTGCCGCCGCCGCCCGGAGCAGGAGGAGGGGCGAGCCCATTGGCCGGCGTCGGGCCTTCCTCCTCTGCCGAGGCGGCCGCGCATTACCGGGCACCGAGGCGGCAAAGACCACGACGAAGCCGAGCACCAAGTGGGACGTGTACTAGTTCGCCATGGTGCTGCTGGAGCTAGTGGCCGAGCGAGCGCTGACGAGCGTGGAGCTCTGCCAGTGGGCGGCGGGGGAGGACAAGGGGCAGCAGGCGTTCTTGCTGGCCGACGCGGCGCTGCGGGGGGAGATGGAGGGCAGGGAGGAGACGCTGGCGAGCTGCCTGAGGCTGGGGTTCGCGACCAGGCTCGCGGCGGCCAACGCCACGAGCTTGCAGACAAGGCCACCGGCGACGCGGTAGGGCGAGCTCCGCGTCCTCGACAGCGTGCCCATGCTCTGTTTCACCACGCGGGTACGAACACCAAGTGTTCGGTGAAATGCTTAAGAGAGAAAGAGGATGAGGAAGAAGAAGGTAGATGCTGACATGTGGGACCTACCTGTAATAACGATTAATCTATCTGTTGAAATAAACGGAGTTAACTTTTCCGCCACGTCAGCTCTGACACGCGGGTCCCGCATGTCATAAACAGGTTTAAAATCATAAAAACGGTCATCAACTCAACCTGGTAGTTTTTTGTCACGAAATTATCACTAATCTGGAGTTTTTGGTCAGTTTTCAAAATGTGGTAGTTCTGTGGAACGGATACGTGAAATGTGGTAGTTTTTTGTCAATTACTCAGCTTGAACCTAACAGTGCCAACTGATGCTGCAGACATGCGAGTGAGCGAGAGTGCCGGGGCCTTACCATCCCCTTCTTTTTCTTCTTCTTCTCGATGTAGGCCAGCACCTCCTCCTGCTGCCCCTTCGACGTCTCCAGAAGCTGCAATGCACATTGATCCACCATTAATGTAGAGAAGGCTAGACAGGGATGCTCGTCTGAATCATGTCATGTGTTGTGCACTTGTGCCGCTTACCTTCTTGGTGGACTCGAGCTCGGCCTCGAGGGTGTCGAGCCGGGTGGCGGCGGCGGCGAGCTGCTCGGCCTTGTCGGCGGGCATCTCGGGGGCACGCGAGCCGAGGGCGGCCACCTTCTCCTCCAGCTCGCCCACCCGCTTCGCCAGCGCATCGAACTGCGCCGTCGACACGCCCGCCACCACGACCGGTCCCCCGGCGCCGCCCTGCCCCTGGGCCTGCAGGAGCTTGCGGTTCTTGGCCATGGCCTCCATGGTGGCGATGCCCATGGCCGCGTCCATGGCGCGCTTCGGCGCGATCTTGCCCACCCGGAACATGGCCACCACCCCCATCACGAACGCCATGAACCCCGTCACCACCTGCCGGTCCCCGGCGTCGCCGTGCTTGTACGCGTCCGGCAGCGACGCGTACATATCTGCCACCATGCACAAACACATTTCCACTCTTCGTTCAGAACCACGCACAAACCAACGCCTCACTCCATTATCTCTCTCTCTCTCTCTCTCTCTCTCTCTCTCTCTCTGCTTTTTCATGGAGTGTTTATTTGGTTGATGAAGGGTGCAAAGGCCGAGCTGACCTCTCGCGATGGCGAGCTTCTCCGCGCTCATCTCGCCGTTCCAGTTGAAATCCATGCCCTTGTCCGCCATGGGGAAGAGATCGTCGTAGGGCGCGGAGCCCCCCTCTTTACCGGAAGGAGCACCTTGCGAATCCTAGGTCAGGGACGCAACAGAATTAGGCTACACAAAGTCAAGTTAGTACTAGTACTACTACTACCATGTAAGGGACCAACAACAATGCTGTCCGGCTCACTACTGTAGCAAATCCGACAAATGCTACTGTAGGTGTTAAGTTAAACATATTCCTTCACCTTGGCCTCTTCGTTTGGCACCTCAGGGAGGGGAGCCATATGCGGCGGGTGTTCGATCTTGTCGTGCGCCGCCTTGGGAGAGTCGGTGGCGTCACGGCGCATCGACTCTTGCTTCTGCAAAGGCAATTTTCGTCAGGGATGCGGACGATAATGTCGGGAAAGGAGGCCATGTAATCTAAAACCTGCATATATGAGTAGGAAATCTCGTGGCAACCTTTGCAGCCGGTGCAGCATCGTCCTCGGTGATAGTCTTCTCCTCGGCGCTGGCAGGGTCCGAGTTGTTCATTCCGCATCTCCCCAAGCCACATTGCACCATCTGAAGAATCAAACCACAAAATGTTCATGGTGCCTATGCTCAGGAGTGGGTTCAGCTGTAGTATAGCATCACTACTACTTCCATTGTGCACTAGCAAATATGCATTCCCTTGCATCATGTATGAACTCTGATTGTTGGAAAATAAGCATTAACCTTTATGATTTCAGGGTCCTTCCACGGTCCTTTGTCGGAGCGCATGCAACCTCCGCCTTCGCATACGCAAGTGCCCCCGAGGAACTCGGGCAATTCACTGTCGAACCCCGCAGAATAAGAACAAAACAAAAAAAGTGAGTTCAACTGCAGGATGCTGCTGATACTAATGCAAAGCAATCTCATTTGAATTTGTCAGTGCCGCCAACTTGCAAAATCCTTTGAGTTACAAACCTGGGATCAATAACTTCCAGCAACTTGCTCTGGTACTTGTTGCCGAGAACCTAAACCCCAAGGCATGAACCGTAAACAAAAGAGATTATAATTCTTGATCAAGTTTATAAATTAGCCGATGACGGCTAAAGGATAAGAACTGGAAAGGAATGGGTTACATGGATCTTGGCTGTGGTCTTGGGGTCAAGGAAGGACTTGACGGTGTTCCACAGGAGCCTGAATCCCTGACCGGCGTTGATGATGAACATCCGGCACAGGGTCTGCATCGTCAGTTAAAATCATCAGCCGAGCATCATTTCCAGGAAGAGATATTTGGCAAACATGTGATCAATAAATTTTGTTCCTGGCACTCCTTGTCTAGAGAATTTTCTGTCCAATACTTCTAGTTGACAACATTAATTTTACGAGAGCGCAAATCTGCTAAAAAAACAGGTTGACCATATTGTAGACAAATACAAAGTACTTCCTCCGTAGTGATCTAAACGCGCTTATATTTCTTTATAGAGGGAGTACACGATAAAATTGGGTTTAATTCTCAGGTTAACATGAAATTGCTCGTGCCAGTTAATACGCCGTATTAAGATTTGCAGAACTTTCTCAAAGAAACTCAATACCGAAGCAAGGGCCGTCAATGGAGCACTATCACTGCACACGCATCGGCATATCATATCTATATGGTATACCTCAGGGTAGTTATCCCCGTCGATCTTCTGGAGCTGCCCGATGAGATCCCTCGCAGCCTTGTTGAAGTTCTTGTAGCCCTGAGACATGCCAAACAGTGTCACATCAACTTTTCTCCAGTATGGCTGCTAGCTCTATGAAAATGCTGAAGAAACTAGCTAGGCATGGATCAATCTTCGATAATGGATGGACGACGAGCACTTAGTTAATTACCACGCCGGAGACGTCGAGGATGGTGGTGCTCTGGTCGACGTGGCGCTTGACGGAGATGGAGCAGGCCGGGAACTTGAGGGCGAAGGCCCTCTCGAACTCCCTCACGTGGTACCTCACGTAGCGGTCCATGCTGGTGACCTGCAGCAGCTTGGTGGTGTCGATGGCGCCCAGCTTCTCGATGTAGATTGGCCGGCCGTCCTTGTCCACGCCGTGGTGCCCCTGCGGGTAGTGCTCCAGCACCTGCTCCACCTCCTCGAATTGGAAATCCTGCGTACGTACGTCCAATAGTTGCATTCATCTTCCATTTTCCAGAGAAGACGGTGATGGAAGGAGATCTAATGGAGCACGCTACGCTACGTACTTCCATGATGGTGTCGGTGCCGAACTCCTTGCGCCAGTTGAGCATGTCGGACCACATCTGCTTGCTCTTGTCGATCTCGAACTTGCGGGCCTTGAGGAAGCGGAGCATCATGTGGTAGTCGTCGTGGCGCGCCGGGAGGAGCTCCTCGAGCACGAGCGTCTGCCGGAACGCGTCCACGGAGGCCGCCTCCTTGGCGTCGCGCACGTCCTCGATGGCCACCGACATCACCTTGCTGCTGCGCTGCCGCCCCGACCGCCGGCTCAGGGAGCTGCGGAGCATCTTGGAGGAGGCGCTCATGGCGCGGTGCCGGAGCGACGCCGAAGACGCCATGCCGGGCGCCCGCGAGGTCGGGGTCGAGGCGGCGCCATCCGCCGCCGCGGCGGTGGGCGTCGACATGGGACGGCGGGGGTGTAGTGGGTCGTCGTCGCCTTATTTCGCGGATCGGTCACCGGCTAGCTAGCTAGCTATCGGGGACGGCGGCCGGCCGGGCGAGCGCCGCTGCACCACCACTGTCCTGAACGATCAACCACCGCCGGCCATTGCCACCAGTTAGTTTCCTGGATCGATGGAGAAGAGATAACAAGAACCGATTCACACGGATCGACAGGCGAATTACCTACGTACGTACCAGGGAGACGGCCTTGGGGGGAGGGTGAAATCTGAAATGGAGAGGGGAAGAAGAAGGGTGGGGACGGGGAATGGCGAATGCTAGGTAGAGTTCGTTGGTGCATGCATGGCCCCGGCCCGCCATGGGCGTCCCCTTCCCCACGAGGCTCTCCCACTATTTCAGGCACCATGGTAGCTGCACCGCTCCTAACTTTAACTTGGATCATGTCTGTTTTGATAACTGGTTTACCTAGGTCAAACTATCACGTTACTAATTACTCTCTCTGTTCATAAATATAAGATGTTTTGAATATTTCAATATAAACTATATACGGACTAAATGAAGTGAACAAACACACTAAAATGTGTCAATATATGCGAGCTGAGCATAGCTCAAATGGTAGCTTCCTTGTGGTGGAACCACGCCATCAAGGTTCAAGTCCTAGACTTGGCACCGGTGTTTAAATTTTCATGTGCGTCGGTACATTTATAGGAATGAGTGATTGTACATGTATATGGTCATCCGTGATTGTACTACGTTAAAAAATATATCTTATATAATGTATGTGCATCCGTGATTGTACATCCGATTCAGAAAAAAGTTAGAACATCTATATAATGTATGTGCATGTATGTCGGCATCTATCTAAATACATCTGACTAAGAAAAATGTTAGAACATCTTATATTTGTGAACGAAGTGAGTAGTACAGAAGTATTCAAACAGTACGAATTAGGCTGCAAAATAAAGTAGTTAGGTCGATAACTTTTCATATCTAGTAGTCACATGTGCAGATGCTTGACTGCCTTGGAAAGATATGCTAACAAATTACAATTCAAAACAAAATAACATGATTTATTATTATTATGGAACTAAGAGAAATCAATAATGTGGATATACGTAACTATGATGGAACAAACCATAAAGTGAAGGTCCAAAACTGACTGTAAGTCCAAGTCAAAATACTGTGCTAATTCAAAAAAAGAAAAGATAAATTTAC